TTTATAACCCGAAACACAACGTATCCGCAAGTATACGGATGATGTAGTAACGAGATCGAACACAAGGACTTATGCGGTTAAGCTAGGAATCGATTAAACTAGGAAAATGATGAAAATAAAATTGGAGAATTGTTTTTGTGGTTTTGGAATTTTTAAAAATGAAATATGATGAGATAAAATAAAAAACAATCAAAGTTCAAGAGAAAATAATCAAATGGAAAGGTTATGAGATTCGGAAATCATCGATCATGCAAGGAAGTCGTACAGAGTGATAGACCTAGATCGTGCTTGTTCTGATGTGAGGGATTCGAAGACTAAGGTCGGGTTTGACTCTTTCGAACTGAATACCCGCTATCTAAGAGAGCACCCTATCTACTCTCGTGGCTTAGAGTGAAATCCCGAATGCATTACACGCCCTTGTCATAATCCTAAGTTGGATTGAACTGAATTTCTTGGCATTCAATCTCAACTCATTTCAATGAATGCATCAAAGAACCAAGAACCCATGTCTCCATGGAATTCACAAACCTAAAATCTACCCACAAGATTTTCATCCAAGGGGAAGCATTAAATACCATTCATCAACCTCTAGCAATCAAAACCCAAGCAATTGCATCACTCAATTCATAAATCTTGGATCTTCCTAAACATTCATTCAAGAGAGGTAAGAGATAATCATGAAGAACAAAATTTCATTCAATGCAAGAGTTTGAAAGCATAAACTAATCACAATCTTGGGTCCAAAGCTGAATATAAGTGATAACTCTTATTTTTCTCTATATTTTTATGAGAGTTTTTCTAGGTTTTATAGGATAATTACATGCATTTATAGGCATTCTAGGCGTGTTAGGACACAAAACCCGGTTGCACTTTAGTTTTGCAGAGTTACAGGTTTCAGAGATGATTGGACTAAAACGGGAGCATTTTTGGAGTTTTAGAGATGAAGTTTAGAAGAGACATGCATTACGAACTCAATAACGTTCTCCACAGAAGTCCAAATGATGCGTAGTTTTATACCATTGGAAAGAGCATTTAAATAATAGACGCCAAAATCACTCAAATCCGACATCGGAACAGAAAGTTATGGATAAAATCGCGAAGCCTAAAATTTCAGATGTCTAAACCGGATCGGTTTAATCTAAACCGGACCAGAAAAAAAAACCCTAATTCCGCGATTTTTTAGAGTCTAATGGAAAAAGGACTCTTGTGAGCCACCCTGGGGTTATATAAAAGGCCTAGACACATCCTAGAACAAGGGAGAATACTTAGAGACAGATTTTGGAGAGCTTTTGGTGAGAGAAGAATAGAAGTTCACGGGATTTCGGAAAGAAGAATGAAGATTCGATCGTGGAGACTACACATCTACATGAGCTTTTCTCTCCTTTTTTTAATCTCTTTTTCTCTGAGCTTTTTGTTGTTTTCCATGAACCGTGAGTAGATCCACGACTATGGGTTAGGGATTCGTTTGTGTTTTAGATATGTTTGAACCTTAACTTGGATTTCGGTTTTGATTTGTTTCGGTTCTATTGATTTGTGCTTTTATTCCATTGATGTTTGCTAACCCCTTGGTCAATTATCTTAGTTTCTGAACTACATAGAGATATGAGTTTAGTTTTTCGGATCAAAAGCAATAGGATAGATCGTATTATTCACATAGAGATATGGTTTAATCGATTTAGGATTGATGATAGCGTTCTTCATGCATCTATGGTTAACTTGAATAGATCGAGAGATTGACGAGTTACTCAGTAGGTAGTGAGTTGGTAGACCGAGAGGTGAAATCTCTATTCTTGTTGCTTGATGATCCCCGAATACAAGTCATAATCGTTATTCTCGCATATTTAGTAAATACCCATACACGGGAATACAGTATCGACACTCATGGTCATCTTAGATTGATAGTTACATTCATTTTTATTTGGTTTCTTATTTTATTTGCCACTAGTTCCACATACTTCCACCATCACTTCTACTTTCTTGCTTTGATTTGGTTTCGATTAGACCTTGCATTCGATCCCATGATACGACGATCCGTATCCTTGCGGTGAGTTGTGAATCGGATTATAAATTCTAGACTCGGTACACATGTATCAACAAATATCCTTACATGAGGACTAATCCCTCATCCTACAACAAGAAAACTACTCACAAGCCATGTTCAAGAACAAAGAAAAACAATGACAAAGTGCAGAAATCATAGAGAAAGAGTAGAGAGATGCTCAAGAAATCTTCAATCTTCAATGGAGTCTCCTCCTTCTTCTTCCTCCTCCAAGAGTTCCCTTTTTCTCTCCCAAAGTCTCTATTTTCGGTCATCAGCAAAACTTAGGGTTTGTGGCCTCTTTTTCTCTTAAAAAACCGAGTGATTTCCGTGAAACAATGTAGCTTTGACGGAGTCTGCGTTTTCTGGTCTGCTCGGTCTGGCATTTGTGGTATGTTCGTTCTGGTATGTGCAGTTCGGACGGTCTGTGCTTCAATCCGTCGGGTCCAGCAGCCTGGTTCAGTTCGGAGGGACTGCATTGTGGTCTGTCGGGTCTACGAGGTCCAGTCCGGATGGTCTGCATTTCCTGGTCCATCGGGTCCAGGCCACATTCTGGGGAATTCTGCTCCTATCTTCTCTGTTCCGTCCCGAAGTCCCTCGACGACCCCTCAGGTTCCTGTAATGGTCAAAACCTAGTCCCAAAGATTTAGAGATGGCTCTAATATGCCTAAGAATATGTAAAAAAATCGTGGGAACCAAAGGCATAAATCCATATAAAATCCAAGCCATCAAGGTTAAAACGTATTAAAAGAGAAAAGACTTAAAAGACACTGTATATGTATAATTATGTGAATAAATGTATAATGAATATATAAATAGTATATCTGATCAATAACCCGAGCCAATACTATAATTATTATTAAATGAGAACGTGTGTATGTATGAATAATGATTGGAATGCATGATTGCCTATGACTGAGGGTATTGAATTGGGATATCATGGCATTAGGCAATATACCGAACGAGTTCGATATTGGATAGAGTATGATTGTAGACGAATAAATGTATGTGTATGATATTCCGATGAGTGCGATGAGTGGAAGTTCATTCTTATGGCAGTCGATCTGAATCGAATGTCATAGGAATGAGATATGATTGTGATTGTTGCAATGAGAGATCCATGTAGTCTACATCGGTTGATGATGTGGTCAATACAGATGCATGGAGAGGTAACACGGTTCATCGGTAACGCCAGCGTTCCATTGGCCATGGAACGGTATCGGGAGTTACTTGTATGAGGATCACAACGGGAATGAAGGCAGACGACCTTGGACGAATACCTGGTGTAACTGATTGGTAGTGTAGTTTTATGAATTTCGTATTTTCTATCATTGTATGCACTACCCTTGATATATTTTCTGCTGCAGATTAATGAAAATAAAAAGTTTAAATCCTGCGCATTTTCGATAGTCACGTTTTATTTTTCGTTGGCCATGTGGTGCAACTCGTTTAATGCGAGATGCTACCTGCATCAAAGGACCATATCTCTCTTCTTCTCGGTCCAAATTGCAGTACTTGGATTGGCCCCATGTTTTGGTCTGCTCCGACTAACCCAAATGTTGGTCACACCCGGACCAGAACCATTTCCTAGTTCGGGAGGCTGACTTGCTAGCTTGGTCCGTTGACGAATTCTTGGTCAGCTCCGGACCAAGCCTTCTTTTTTCTGCTTCTCTTATTTTCTTCCTTCTTTCGGTATAATTTGTTGGTTTGATTTGACTTGGTTTCTACTCCATTCATCTGGGTCCTACCTAATGCTTAGCTTAGTTCGTTTTATCTCATTCATATCAGGTTAATGGAATTTAAAAGATTATACACTCGATCATCAATTTTCATTGATAAAAGCGTAGGTGATTTTGGTTTATACTTATTTATTCATATTACCGAAATTCAGGGTATTACAACATATACTTAGTGAAACATTATAGGACAGACATATCTTTATATGTATAAAAATTTCGAATAAATTTCTAAAAGAATTACCAATTTGAAAAATTTTCACGAGATGTGAAAAAGTCGACAATCACGTTAGTACTGTTATCGAAAAATATTACTCAGTTAACGCTGTCAGAGAAAATTATAAATTAGTATATTTTTAAGAGATAAAAGGTTAATATATTTTTTAATAAAATTTGAAAATTATAAATTCGTATATTTGTAAAGATGCCGTAACTCTTTTCCAACCCACCTTTTCGCACCCACTTGGAAAGGACAACACCTTAAATGATAATTACCTCTTAAATCGTTTGACCTTGAAAAGATATAATTGGATCGGAATCTAGTGAACCTTTTATTATAAAAATAAAAATTGAACAAATCCATATATTTATTTAAAATTTTCTTTCCCATTAATATATCGTGCAAATATGAAATATTTTCATATTAACTATAGAATTTTAAAGGTAATATGGAAAAAAAATAATACATCTATTCCGATATTTAGAATATTATTTTTGTGGGTATTGAGAAAATGATAATACATTCTATTCATACATTTGAATTTGAAAACTAATAGAATTTACGCAGATTTGGTAAAATCGTTCAGCATTTTCTATATATTTATTCAAATGCAAGATGAAATCATTCCTTATGTACACACTTACATTAATTAGTGAGTATATATATTCAAAAATTATATTCCAATACATTGTAGGTAGACTTAAACATTATTGGACACCCTTATAACTATAATTATAAATAGAAAATACAAAATGAATTTCTAAAATAATTGCGAATTTGATAGTAAAAATTAAATTGAATTAATAAATAGCTATATAGGTAAAAGGCATCCAATATAAACCAGCAAGATTTTTCCAAATTTCACTAGATTTTCTCCCATATATGTTACTAAATAACCAAATATATAAAAAAACAAAAACAAAAAAAATATCATAGTTGAATTTTACGATTTGGATCTATAAATAGCACCACTTATGTAAATTATAAACCAATTAACAATAATATAATTCACTTAATTTTATCATAACAATAATCATACGAAATGGTGAGGGTTGGCATTGGTATTTTATTCTGTGGATTTTTTTATTTACATAAATTTTAAGTTTTCATTGTCTGTTACACATAACATTATTTTTGCGCAGGAATTGACAATTGCCTTTATAATAATTTGCGTCGGAGTTTTAGGATTTGGAAATGTTGAAGGTAACATTTACGTGACCAGTTTTGGTGCTCGCGGAGATGGTAAAACTGATGATTCACAGGTATTGTTATTATTATTATTTAGACAAAATTTGTAAAAAAATTTAAAGTTATAAATTTTTAAAACTTTTCGCTTAACAAAATTATTTTCACATTTGTAAAATATGTCAATATAATTGTAGAACGTGTTATTATAATTTCTAAATTGACTTTGATTCAATATCATCTAAATTTTTTCTAATTCTACTAATTAATAAATTTTGAAATTATAATGACATATTTTAAAAGTTTGAAATAAATTTATTAAACGAAAAATCACCATTTTTCAAGTTCATGATTTTTTTTAATAGATTTTACCCTTTTGTTATTATTATTAGATTATAGAACGGACCAAAAGCAAATATTTAAATTTTATGATTGTGCTAGAATTGAAAATTTAATAAAGATGAATTAAACATATCTATCAATCAAATTTTATTTAATTATTATCATGAGAATTTTTCAAATTTTAAACAAGTTTAACAAGTGATTATTTGAAAGGCATTCCTAAAAGCCTGGGAGGCAGCATGTCAAGCAGGGGGCACTAAAACTTTGACAGTTCCTGGAGGCAAGAATTTTTTTCTTCAACCTCTCATTTTCTCTGGTCCTTGCAAATCTACAGTTACATTTGAGGTATCTTATTCATATATATTCTCCTTAATGATACATAATATAATTTCGGTATATAGTTACAATATCCAATGTATATTTTAGAATTTAAAAGATATGATTGAACCATGAATTATGATAAACGGTGTCAAATGAGCCAGTTCGACTCGGATCGGATCAAAACGAGATTGTTCGTTTTGGATTCAGTTCGTTAAAACGAGTCTAAAAATCTCTCGACTATTTTTTATTTATATTATTAAAATATAAATAATATAAGATAAAATTCAAATATTAAAAAAGTAGATGAAGCATACAGAAAATATTATACAATATTAGGCTGTAAAAATCGGCAATAGTTAATATCAAAGTTAACGCTTGATTGGGATCCGGCACATTTTTTCTGTATACATATGCATCAATTATGTGTTAGCTTATTTGTTAATTGCGTTTCAACAGCTCCTGGGAACTCTTTTGATTCCTAATCCCAGTGAGTGGAAACCAAATAAAAATAACCGATGGATAGGTTTCAAAGATATTGAGGCCCTCACCGTCCTGGGACCAGGACAGATAGACGGCCGTGGTGAGGCCTGGTGGAATTATCGCACACCAGCAGATCGACCAACGGTAAATATTACAACTGATGGTTTTTACCAAACCGAATTTATATTTTGGTATTCGTTCGGTCACTTCATTTAATATTTTATGTCATTTCAGTCGCTTCATTTCAACCGCTGCAATAATCTTCAAGTGAGGGAAATTACTTCGGTGAATACTCCAAGAAATCATATTAGCATCCACAACTGTACAGGTCCGACAATATCCAACCTAAATCTTTTTGCGCCCGGTGAAAGCCCGAACACAGACGGGATCGACGTCTCTTTATCGAGCCAAATCACAATTAAAGATTCCAGCATCAGAACCGGTAATTTTTATAATTACCATGCATCTAGTCCGCAAATCACCTCGTTCTTATCGAGTTGGGATGAAAAAAAAAAATACGGCCCCAGTTCGACCGATCCGCAAGTTGGTTCACGAGCCATAATTGTTTTGCGAATTTTTTTATTTTTTATTCAACTCGCGAAACACCTCTCACCAGTTTGAATTGATCTCGAAAAAACATATTATTTATAGAAAATTCTAAAGTGGTAATCCCTAAACCGATTCGGTTTGGTTAGATCTGAATTAATATTCTTTTTGTTTTAATTTTTTTTTAAAATAAAATCCGATTCAGGTGATGATTGTGTGGCTATTAACGGAGGCGTTGTCGGCATCAACATCACAAATGTGAACTGTGGTCCTGGTCACGGAATCAGGTATATTTAACCACTTTGAATCAAATAGTGTTATATATATAATTATTTCTTTCGTGTTTGTGTGTGTGTGTATATATATATGCAATGTATGTGTCGCAGCGTGGGGAGTTTAGGACGCAATGGACAGACAGAAATCGTAGAGCAAGTGCTAGTGAAGCATTGTACATTCAACAAGACCCAAAATGGAGCAAGAATCAAGACAATTCCTGTAATGACGCAACAAACATATACTATATATGTATATATATAAATTACATAATAATGTATGTATTATTAAAATAACGATGCAGGGTGGAAAAGGTTACGTGAAGGGCGTAGTATACGAAGATATTACACTAATAGAAGCAGGAAACCCTATCATGATTGATCAGTACTATGGTTGTAAGGATCGGTGCTCCTCTGGGGTGAGTCTTGTCGTTGTTTTTAATATATATATATATATATATATATATATATTCACAGAATGAATAAATAAAATGGATGCAGGCGAGTGCGGTGGAGATAAGCAACGTGAGGTTCGTAGGGATTAAAGGGACATCGGTGAAGAAAAACGCGATATCGATGCTGTGCAGCGATACGAAGAAATGCAACGACGTCGGATTGGAGGACGTGAACATTACGGCGGGGGGGGGGAGGTTCGTAGGGATTAAAGGGACATCGGTGAAGAAAAACGCGATATCGATGCTGTGCAGCGATACGAAGAAATGCAACGACGTCGGATTGGAGGACGTGAACATTACGGCGGCGGGAGAAATAAAGGAAGTGCAGTCGGTGTGCAGCAATATCGAGGGCTATTCTCGTGAAACGACCCCTCCTGTCCCGTGTTTCCCCTAAACCTCGCTGCCATTTATTATACGTCTCGACTCTCTCCATTTCCCTTTTCCGTCCCATGTTCTTATTAATAATTGAGATGCTGTAATAAGATGTGTTAATTTACCCAAAATAATATAATAAAAAAAAAAGCATTGTTCTTAATCTTGTTCTTCAAACACACCGATTCCAGGATACCAAATTATTTATCTCCACGACCATTCGTACTTACCTCCTTTTGTCGCATTCTTATAGTCATCGAATGCGACCTCCAACGCGGAATTGAGCGTCGAATTATTTTCATAACACTATTTGCATTTATAATATTATTATATTTATAATTTTCGTCCAATCAAAATCACATAATAATATTTAATTTGGTCACTTTAAAAATAATTGACGAGCTTCTATATGTTTGGTCCCGAAGTCTAAAACCCGATCGGAACTCACCTGAAAAATAACGGGTTTTATATTTAAAATTTTAGGCCCAAAAAGTTATGAGCTTTTGGATCAGGCCTAAATCAGGCCGGAATTCGGGTTTTTCGAACTAAGTCCGACAGATTTTGGATCGATCCAAAAGTCTGATTTTTTTTATTTTTAAAAAAAATTGAGTTAAAAAACACATAAAATCTGATATCTTATTTGTATTGAGCGGGGCTATCTAATCCGAATCCGAGTTTTATAGGGTCGGATTTCGAATTTGATTTATTAGGCACGAAAAATTTGGATCTGTCCAAAACCTTCGTACCGAGTGCGGGTTCATATTTGGTCGACCCGATTGACACCAATTTCAGACGTTTTTTTAATATTTTTCTTACAAACTCCAAAAAAGTTTCCAAATTGATTTTAATAATCGTTCTAGTGTCAACGAAAGGCACCTAATAAACACATTACTATTTTCTCACCGGCGGGCAGACATAATTTGAATGGCTCATCATCCTCACCTGAATTAAAAGATAATGTTATGACATTTCTAGGTGGATGAATTCTTTCTATATATATATATATATATATTCGGACGGTCAAGTTTTAAAGTTTGATTAATGTCGGTCGAATAATATTCATGTAACTTTATTCCGCCGCCAAAAACAAAATATCCTTAACAGATGACAAAAATTATTGCAAATTTATATTTTAAAAAAATCGATCAAAAATCATAAACATTCAAAAAACCTTCTATATAAATACATAAACTTTATACTTTCTAAAAAAATTCAAAAACTTCATAACTATTATCATATTTACAATACCGGTTTTTAACGTTGTAGTACGGTAGCAATTATAATTTATAGGTATTATTTCTAACCACTGGTTGCCAGATAAGGTTTAAAGGTGGACAGTTCTTTCGATTCAACAAAAATATGCATCAATCGGTTATTATTTCATATTTGATTCGGTTTGATTTGATTTTAATTCGATTTTCATTAAAAAAAAAAAAAGTTATAGTTTCTCAACAAATTTTCGGTTTTTTAAGATTTTTACAAATTTGATTCGATTCCAAAAATTTCGGTTTTCTAAAAACATTACCTTACGAAAATTTTGGATGTTTCGATTCGAAAGAGATGCCGTATTTTTTAATTTGGTACGGTTCAATTTTAAAACATAATACCGAAACTTCCACCCTACCGGATTACTCTAATGACACTACCAAACATAATTATTTTAAAAATATATCATAAATCAGATGTCAGAATCCGAACAAAAAAAAAATCTTTGGAGAGTTTTTTTCCGCAGTTAGGTGAGCTAGGTCCTGTGAATTGTGAAAGCAAACATTAAACAAGTCAACTTCAAACTTCATAGCTGTATGAAAACTATAAATCTTTTCACAAAAATTTTATATATAAAAAAAAAATCTCTTATGTTTCTCAGAATATTTTCATCCAAAACCAAGTCCCAAGAACAGGTAGCAGGAAAGGCCCCTGCCATTTGATCAAAATCTCAATCTCAATCTCAGATTCAGATTCCACAGCATTTGATGCCTATTAACATCAGATTGAATCTGAAGCTATAAACAGATTCGGACATCAACATCGAATGGATCAAATCCGGCATTCCCTCGGTTTTCTTGAACTCATAATCTAAGCTCAATGAGAAGTGGAAACAGTTGCAGCAACAAGATCAAACCAAACCATTTCTCCTCAACCAAGTAGAAGATCCTTAGATTTCATGACTTTGCTCTTAGATTTGATGAACTAAGTTTCCGCAGATCTCATTGCCTGAATACGGGCTTGATAAATGATTAACGGGGAGGAGAAAGGAAAGGGTAGAGAGAAAATATATATACCTGAATGAACAGCGTTTATGTACATATAATCCGGGTTCTTGTTCTTCCTCAATGAAGCTGGTTATCCCGAGAATGCTTCTGCATTAGGGGAAACAGATATCGGGGTACCGACTACCATGACGGGCATTTAGATGATGCTGAAAAGGTCGTTACAATCTCGGGTTTCAACTTCTCGAGCAAGAACAGGACGGATTTTATTCAGACAACTGCAGAGGTAGTGCGTCTGAGATCTACTACATCATTCTTGAGTTTCCCACTTGGTGGGGTTCCTTTGAAGCTTCCATATCGAACAGGTTTGGGGATGTAGACAGAACAGAGCATCTCCTCCAGAGCTTGAACTGTGTACCTCGAGTACTTGCTTGAGCTCGTGTCCTTCTCGACAAGAGGCCCATAGTTTTGCATATAGCTTCTGTAGACTGGAACTATGGCCTGAACTATCTGTTGGCAGATTCTGTCCCGCAAATCTCTTTCCGGTATGACCCAAGCGGAATGCTTCTTGTACATCTCATCGAACGCGTCATTGAAGGCTTTCAGCCTCTTCTTGACGAGATCACGTGCAGTGGCATGTCCACCCGAAAAAAGTATAAGACCTTCTCGGCTTAAGTGGTTTGGAAGCTTGCCCCAAGTGTCCCTCAGGAAGAGAGTGGCATAGTAGTCCTTGTACTGTTCATGCTCCCTTAACCAGATTTCTCCTAATTGTTGCCCGATTTTTGTACCCTTCAAGTTCTTGTACAAATGCCAGTGGTTGTTCATGGCGAAAAGATTGCAGAGAGTCAGGTCTGGATACGATTTCATCCATAACTCCAAATTCTGCTCCACGGCTTTGATTATCTTTAGAACTTCGACTGTGACGATAGCCTCTTGGAACTTTTCGGATTTCCAACTCTTGTGTATAAGCAAAACCTGAGTCAGAGTCGACTTGTACTTATCCCCCACAAGCTTATTGCAGTAATCAGTGACAAAACTGATTAACCTGGGAATACCACCATCGTTGGGAGGCGGGCTCTGTTTCTGAATCTCTACCTGAATACGAAGCTCCCAGAATATCTCGGCGGCCCCATCGATCGCGCTTTTGATGAGATCCCTTGTAAAGTTTTGGATCTCGATACATGCTGCTCCACCGAAAAGCCGATTGAAATCTGCTCTGAGTTTATTCAAAGAAGAGAAGATGTCTAACAGCTTCAGAAGTTTGATCGGATCTTTCTTGCTCTCTGTAACCGTTTTCCCAAACTGAAGGAACGCGAGAATTCCGGCCCGGGCTGCTATCTTAGCAAAGCAACTCATCCACACATCCATAGAGATTCTCTCGAAAACATCATTGCAGAGCTTGAATTCCGCCTCGAACAAATGCTTGACAGCAAACTCCAAATGTTTACCCCACTTAGATACATACCCTTCAATGCTCTGCACATTACTGAACTCAGAAGCCGAGATTTCTAGATAATGTAAATCAAGAGCCTGCAAGCTCGCTCTAACGTTTCCACTCCTCACTTCGACGTATATCGAAATGCACTTGTCGAGCCTGTTGTTGGCTCTGAGCCTTCCAAGGATTGCCTGCAGTTTATGGATAACCGCAACGGGCAAAGGAGATGGCGCAATGCAAGGTTGTTCACCGAGTGATGAAGGAGCTGCCATAGGAAGGGGCACACTATGATCGGTCAAAAGCCTCCGGAACTCCTTTTCCAATCTGTCTAAAGCCAAATCCAGAAGCCCACCATCAAGCCGAGCTTTCTCCTCATCGTTCCGCAATTCCCTAAGACTTTTCAAAGATTTCTTCAAATTCGAAAAGAACTTATCGTCTGCAACATTGTGATCTTCCAAGTACTCGACTATATCCTCCAACCACTGGATAGCCAACCCGCAGTTATCCCCGAGAAACTTCAACGCTTCCTGTAAACGCTTCAATACCCCTAAATAACCAGAGAGATCGTTCTTCGGATCCGACAACAGAGATTTCTCAAGGCCATGAACAGCATCAAAAACCTTGAGCACAGCAGCAGCAGGGCCAATGGCGCGGTTAATATGCCCACTCACAGCCATGAGGGCATCTCTATTGGCACGAATGGGCCGTACTGCAGATTCAAGGGAAGGCAATCTTTGCAGAGTGTCATCAAACCTAGGTCCAGTCTTCTCAAGAGCCGATGCTAGGGTTTTCGATTTCTCCAAACTCAGCTTCAATGACTTCCTTGCAGCTATCAAACTCCGAATGCCCTTATCATCTCCCACGGACTCCGCCATTGCCCAATTGGGAAAAACCCTAGAAAGCCCAGAAATCTCACTCCGAGAAACCCATCAGCTTCAAACTTTTTTTTTCTCGGCAGAGATGAAGATTTTTGGAAGTTCGATTACCGATCAACACCAATGTAAAGGAATTCAATACGAACACTGCTTCAACCTGGGTTCATATCTAAACAAACCTTTGTCGTATCCTTTTTCCCTCCTTTTTATACCCAAACTTTCAGCGAATCAAACCAAACCCAGAACAGCAAACAAGAAATTTCCAGGAAAATTCAAACCAAGAATCTGAAATTTCCCCAGCACCCAACCAAGCAACCACCGAATTGCAAGAACTCAAACTAGAAAATCCCAGCAAAGAAAAAAATTAAAACAAAAAAAAACTCACCGCAGCTGAGGAAACAATCAAAGGAGGAGCTAGGGATCCTACACGATCCGAGGGCAAGAAGAACTCGGCGGAAAAATCGAAACCTCCGTGAGCTTCTATGGGGAAAGAGAGGACAGAAAACAACGATCAGAGCAAAAAAAACTTTGCTTACCGTCCTTTTTTGGTCTGCTTTTCAATGTTCCAGCAGAAAGCAGCCAAAGTGCATGACAGTAGAGCACGAGGTTTCTTTCTTCTTTGTCCCTCTCTCTCTTGCCACTTCTCTTGTGTAATTTTTGTAAATTGTAGAGATAATACCATATTAATTAATTTTAAAAAATATCCTAAATTTCTAGGATAAATTTTAATTTGATAAAAAAAAATTATACCAGATTTTTAACATTTCTAAAATTCTACATAAAATCTTAAAATATGTTACAATTTTCTTTATAACCATACACGGTGTTGGGTTTCGTCAATGATATTAGTTCCGTCAATTTTAATATTGACATACACATATATTTCGTCAAATCATCATATTTCACCAAATCAACATGATATATTAGAAAATAAATAAAAATAAAAAATAAAAAAATCTTGAATTTTAAAAAAAACAATAAAATAAAATAATTTTTTTTCAAAACTTTTTAAAAAGTTTATACATATATACACACTTATACATATATATATATATAATTATATACATATAATATATACACGTAAATAAAATATAATATATCATATGTATATATGTATATATATGTATGTATATATGTATATATATGTATGTATATATATATGTATGTATATATACATATGAATATGTGTGTATATATATATATGAATATAAATGTATATATACACATATATATATGCATGTATATATATGAGTATGCATATATATATTTATATATACATACATATTCATATATATATACTTATTCAATATATATATGGATATATATGAATAGATGCGTATATATATGTATATATACGAATATGTATATATATACACATATATATATATATGCATACATATATATATATTCACATGACATGCATATATGTATATAGTGTATGAATGTGAATATGTATGTAGATGTATATATGTATATATAATTGTGTGTATATATGTATGTATCTATATAAAAGTGGGTGTGTATATATATATAATTTTTAAAATTTTATTTTTAAAAAAAAAATTAAAATTCAGTAAATTTTTAAAAGTTTTTTAAAATTCTGTAAATTTAAAAGTTTTTAAAAAATTATTTTATTTATTAATTTTTTTAAGTTCTGGAAAATTTTTTTATTTTTTTATTTTTTACTAGATTAGAATCCGTGCGATGGACGGGTGATTCTTTTTTTATATTTTGAGATGCGTATAAACTTTTGGTATATATAATTTTGAGAAAATAAATAAATTATTTTTTAATAACAGTGTACACAATAATATAAAATTATTGTAAGAATTATCATTTTTTATTATATAGTAAATTATATATGTCGTTGTTAATGTGTATTTGATGTCAGTATACAGATTATCATAGAAATGATTTCTTACTCATTTCAATTTCATGTTATGCGTAATATGTTTTTTATATCAATTATTTGTATTATATTTTATATAAAAAAAAGTTGATGGATTGAATGATAGAACGTCTGTTACGTTAAATATATTAGTAAACTCAATATAATAATGATATTAGTTTTTAAATATTAATCTATCAAATATTTCTAAAATAATTTTTGATTTGTAATTACCGATAATATTTATTCATTACTTTCATATGAATAAAACAATTATTGAATTAAATTATATAAAGTATTTACACACAATCATCGGCGTGATCATGATAAACAAATATAAATAATATGATTACTAGATAAATAACGATATTAGGAATTTTTAAATGACATATGCATATTATAAACTATTTATCATGTGTATATATATATATATGTATATGGTACACTTCAATTAATTTTATAATTATTCTACGTTGTGTAATTTTTTTTATATCAACAAATTTTAATATTTTCTTGGCAAGCATTGATGAACATGAGATTCCTCTTATTTATAACTAACCTTATGATGTTGGTAGTTCGTTGAAGATTCTCTGTAAACAATGTTGGTGACAGGGTGTAGGGACTACCAATCCTCGCTTAGGCAAAATATCCAAAATACTCTCTTTATACTAAAACTACTTCTACACATGCCCTTCTCCAGTTGTGACCTTGTGACCAGAATAATTGTATGGTTACATGGTCACATTGGTCACAACGTTAGATTTTTGATGATTTTGTCAAATGATTAGTATGATATGTAAGGTGTGATCATTATGGTGATTTGATATAATCACCATAAATTTAACGTTATGACCCATGTGACCATCATGTGACCATACATGAATTTTGGTAACAATGTCACGTTTGGAGAAGGGTATGTGTAGAAATAGTTTTAGGAAAAGAATGGTATTTTGGATAATACCCCCATTGCTTAGGACGCTTTTTAAATTTTACCTACACTAACTATTAGCTACGTGGAATTAAATGTAAAAAAAATATAATGACAAGAATTTTTCTCCTCGCTAAGCGTTTCTATTATTGATATAAGGGAAAAACCCCTAAAAACCTTAAACTTGCAAAAATATATACAAATAAATCTTCAACTTGAAAAACTGTCATTCAATCCCCGTACTTGTAACTTGTCACTGAATAAAACCTCGAACTTGCAAATTATAGTTCTAATAAACCTTTGACCGATTTGACCATAATTTCAAACGATCGAAAATCCACGTATTGACGGATTACTGATGTCATTTTTTAAATTAAATTGATAACGTGTATAAGGGGACATCAGCAATCTGTTAATACGTGGATTTCCGATCGCCTGAAATTATGGTCAAACCGGTCAAAGGTTTATTAGAGTAATAATTTGCAAGTTCGAGGTTTTATTCAGTGACAAGTTACAAGTTCGGGGATTGAATGATAGTTTTTCAAGTTGAGGGTTTATTTGTATATATTTTTTCAAGTTGGAGGTTTTTTAGGGGTTTTACCTTGATATAATAAAGATGACTTTTATTTCTATGCATTTTTAATTACAATTATTTATAAACCAATTAAAATCTAAAAACCATCAATGTAGGAAGCTTAGGTGGTTTCACCATATTATTGGAAATCCAACTTTTATATATATATATATATATATATATATATATATATATACGAAATATGATGATTTGACGAAATATGTGTGACGTGGCATGTTATGTCAACATTAAAATTAACGGAACTTAATGTCGTTTACGGATATGGGGAAAATTACAACACATTTTAAGATTTTGTGTAGGATTTTGAAAATCTTTAAAATCTGGTGTAATTTTTTTGTCAAATTAAAAATTGATGTAGAAAATTGAAACATTTTCGTAAATTAGTGGGGAATATAGGATTATCCTTTTGTAAAAAAATTTACCAAAAAATACAATAAAATAAAATTAGTTTTCTAAATTAAAAAAAAGGCATATCTTCAAACCCTATTAATCATATATTTAAATTTGTTGGATAGATATTTTGCCGAAAATAGTTATTCCTTATAGTTATGGGCATTTTTATTTGACATCCGCGGGTTTTCGAATACTCTTTCTCGCGGTTATCCGAAAATCATAACTCGAGAGACAACGAGATAAATAACGGGTTCTATGAGATAAAAAAAAATCCAAATATTTCGAGATCGGTTAAAATAGAAAATTATAAAAAATATTTCATTCATTTTTAGTATTCTACCTCTTTCTCACGAGTTTGCTCCGCCTCCCTCTCGATTCGATATGTCGTGCTCAGTATCCTTCTCACCTTTCGTTTTCGTCTGCCATGCTCAGCCTCCCTCTCTCCTTCGGTTCTCTCTCCTTTCACTTTCCTATTCTTCGACTCGGTAGATCTCGACTCTCACATCTCTCCGACGTTCGATAGATCTCGTTCTCCTTTGTCATGCTTTAATTAGATGGGTTAGGATCCCACGAGTACCCATCTCGACGAGGCCGAAATCGAGATCGATATACCCTAAAAAGTCCGGATATCCGCCCGTATCCACCCCTAATTACGGGTCATATTTCTTCTTCTTCTAGTTTTTTTCATTATTTTTTAGTTTAAATTTTCATATTAAAAAAGTATATCATTCGATTTCTAAATTATATTATCGATTTTTTTTCTAATTCACGTTCTTTTTTTCTAATAAACTTTTAATTTTTTTGTTAAATTTATATTTGATTTTCGGATTTATCATCCAATTTTTATATTAAATTTAATTCAATTAAAATAATAGTGTGGCCCAGTTTCATCAGGCACAGGATAAATTCGCGTCCAAAGAACTATTTTTCACTTTTCGTGGTGACAAAAAAAAAATTTATCACCGAAGCGATTTCGAAAAAATTGTTAGCCTTTCGCTTTGACGACTTTATCTTATAAAATTCGCATATATTATCTTCAAATACGATATACTAAAATTAATATATTGTCAATTTCAATATATGGACCCACCAATATGCTGTAAATTACAATATATTCAAATATGAATATGAACAAATGAAACGTTGACATTTGACAATAACACCCATCCAACTCACCAGAACGTCATTGACTTCACAACAATTATCAATTAGTCAACCGCCATTGTCTCACCGGCAAGAAATCAATGATCATTGACAAAATACTAATTATTCCACTAATATAATGTATAGATTGCAGATTTAAGATTTTGAAATTAGTTATTTTCAAGCCCAAACAAAAATCAACTTCTATTTTCGTTTAGTCTATAAATAAAAGAATTTACAATCAAACCCCTCTACTGCTCAGAATATTACAAACCACTACCCATCTAAACTCTCACGTCTCTAATTTCCACCCCCAAACTTTTCATTCGAACCAATCAAGCACTGAAACCACTCACACCCGGAGAAATATTCTCCTGCGACGCGGTCTGGTGGTGACGGTGCTCTCCTTCGTACGTCACGATCAGCATCGTCGGATCATCCAACGCTCGTTCCACGTGTTTCCTCGCCGGACATCCTCTGGAAGTACTGCACTTGTAATAACCCCTGCGACCAACAAAACGTAATCTCCACCGTCAGATCTCAACCGGACGAATCAGATCGACGCAGAATCAACGGCTGAAATACGCGGGTCTACTGTAGTTACCGTGGGTAAGGTGAGCCCTTGATCGGTTTCTGTCCGTACTTCCTCCACGAGTACTCGTCCGTTGGAATATCGGCGATCTTCGAACTTATCGCCGGAACCCTAACGGTCCTCTTCACACGATTCTTCCTGCTTTAATTTAAAAATAAAATAAATTAGCTTAACTTGCGCTGGATGAGCTAACGTGAACGGAGTGCGTTATGGGGTATAAAGATAGTCAACAGTCAACCCTAGGCTTGCAGAAAGCTTTTAACCGTCCCGAGATAAAAGACAAAAACTGTTCTGAAGCAGGTTCGATAGTGTCGTTTATTATTTACTTATTTCTTTACCCAAATGGTTAAATCTTAACCGACCGGTTTACTCGAACGGTTGAATTTAAAATAAATTAAATCAGCTTAACTTGCGCGGGATAAGCTAACGTGAACGAAGTGCGTTTTGGGGTGAAAAAGTCAACGGTCAACCCTTCAAAAAACTTTTAACCGTCTCTGGATAAAAGATAAACACTGTTATAAAGCACGTTCAATGGTGTCACTTTTTCTTTTACCTAAATGGTTAAATCTTAACCGGACCGGTTTACTCTAGTCGGTTCCCCTGTAAGTAATTAATTAATGAAACGGTGTCGCTTTGAACTTAATACTAAAGGTTAATGATGCAACGTGTCGGTGACAGAAAGGAATCAAATCCTTACCTCTTCTTGCAGTGGCACTTGCCGTTGCTGCCGCCGGAGAGTTTACCGGAGAAATCGACGGACTGTTCGTGCTCGAAACATCTCTTTTTATGTGGATTACCGGCCAACGGTGGTTTCCCGGCGGAAGCCACCGGAGGTAGGAAGATCGACGAGCCCTGTTTCCCGTTCGAGACACTTCCGTCGCCGGTGATCGCCGAAGAAATGTAGGAGGAGTTCATGGAGACGCTGAAGCTCTCCTTGGCGAACTCGAGCTCGGCCGATTTGGTTTTAGATCCAAAAACACTGGGCCTAGAGAAATCGAGCGTCACGCTCTGCTGATTCGTCTGAACGAAGCTCGCCGGAACAATCACCGGCGACGAAGACGCGATCGGAGGCGGAGGAGATACTGTCACCGGCGGAGGAGATGCGGCGGAGGAGGAGGAAGAAGGAGGGGAGGAGTGAACCGGTCCACGTCTAAACCGGGCGTGACCGGTTCGGTTGAGGAGGGAGATGACCTTCTTGAACTTGGAGACGGTGAAATCGGTGATCTCAGCGCAATCGACGTGATTGTTGGGGTGACGGTGGGAGAGGACACGGATCAGGTGCTCCATGCTCTTGAGGCCTTCCGACGCAGCTTCCTGTATAGCCGTTTGATCTTCCATCTTCGGGAAGCTCATGAGATCTACGGCCATGATGAAAGATCTAATTTTTCTTCTCTCTTTTTTTTTTCTAGGATTCTCAGAGAAACATTGAAGAGGAGAAATGAAAATGGTGGAGAAGGAGAAGGGAGAAGGCGTGATATAAGGGGAAAAGAAAAGGTGACCGGGTGACCGGGTCAGGTGCGTGAGTTTTAGTCAAACCGGGGAGGTTTTGATCCAACGGCTGAGGTTGAGTTGAAATTTTCCATGATGGAATAAAGCAATTTAAATAAAATGTGGGTCCCGCGTGTAGGCATTTTGTCGTGTCTTTAAAATAAAGGAATGTAGGCCAATTAGACGGACGATAACAAGAATTTTTTTTAATGGTTAGTTAAATTACGAAATGAATTATTACTTTATTTTATTTAGTCTTATTTGTTCCATAAAAACAAAAATTCTGAAATTTTATTTGCAATAATAAATGCAAGAGGCAACAAAAGGAATTTTAGTATTCGTTCCACCAAAATCAACACCTTAACTATTTAGATAATAGGTGTATTTCACAAACGCGCTATATATATATATATATATATATATTGTTTTTTTGTGAAAGTCTTACTATTGATTTTTTTGTTAAATGCGTAAACACATGACATAAAATAATTTCAATGCGTGTTTCAATCACCAAATAAAAATATTTAGATTACCTGATACATAACATATTCCTGACAAAATTAAAGCAGCTGAATACAGGGTGCGCACAATATTATATGTCAAACGCCACATTGCTTGACAATCTCATCGTTGCTTTGTACATATATATATATATATATATTATAATATGACCTACGATCATAATATTTTTTTTACATGATTCTTTTTATAAATAATGATTTTATAGGGTTGTACTCATTTTTTTTAATAGTAACAAAACTGTCGATTTTCAAGTTCTGCAACAAGTTAAAATAGTAAAAAAAATTATATATTCGTGCAAGAGTTTTACTGCTAATATTCACCAACATTTAAAAAAAAAGAGATATTCTTTACACAGATTTGAACTTCTAGAACCCGTTTTGACTTGATATATATATATATATATATATATTACTCAAATGGGAATAGTATTATTTCCTTGACTTTAATTCGACTAATTAATTAAGAGAAATGATGGACCAACCAGCGATAAAAAAATATTCAAAACATTATTATATGATGCAACAAATAGTTGACTATTATAAAGCAATCTTTATTCGATAAGAATAATAACGACAGGTGGATGATATTATTTCATATAATAAGAAACAAACAAACAAAAAAAGCTAATCACATGGACCCGTTTTCTTTTGTTTATAAAAAAACAGAGAATTGTTGACCAACACAGCAACTGGGGTAGTGGTCCCGGTGATCTCGTATCTGGACCGTTGGATTCATCCGAGACGTTTCCAGCCGTTGATCTGTGAATAAGACAGTTTACTACGGCCTTCTATTTTTTTTTTACTGGACATAAAAAGTTATTCCTCCACACAAATCACGATAAAGATATTCGATTTCAAATCTAAATTATTTGGAATATTTTTTAATCCTACTTTTGATGATATTCAGTTTCGAAATTGGGTCATTTGAATTTTATAATCTATAACTTAAATCGATGTTAACAAATGTTTGAATTTTAGATATTCCGTGAATATTTTCTAAATCATCGCCTGAAATCTATAAAACTGAATTTTTAAACCGAATATTCATATAATTGGTGCAATTATAGGCTATCCTATACACACATACTGAATTTATATATACATATATGAGAAATTGTATATTTTTTACAATTCTACTAAAAAACATCTCCAAGATTATCGAATTTTCCCACGTGGATGTCGATACTAATGACTAATAAATGTGACCGATTTCATTTTTTGGTGGTCCTAAATTTTGACATGAAAACAAATATGATTCTTTAAAAAAAACATGAATATCATAAAATCTCACAAAAAATGCAGATGATTTCAATCGAAACTTGGTTGTTCACAACTTCACATACCAAATTCAATCTAAGTTAAATCGAATAAAGCATACCAATAATGTTGTCAATATCATAACCATATTTAATATGGAAATTAATTGGATCTAATTTATTATAAATCAAATTAATCAAAATTGAAGTGGCTATGAAAATAAAAAAAAAAGGATGTAAATATTTTTTTAGAAAATAAATATATATTCTCCGGAAATTGAATTCCATCTAACTTAATTTTGATTTCAAAAGATTGATTAAAAAATAACAGATCCTCGGTGTTTATTAAGTTTCAATAACTCGATCCTAATTGCTGGATGATTTGTTAAACACATTAGGATTACAACAAAACAATATCAATGGACAAATTTTGTAGTCGAATTTAATATGTAATATGACATTTGTATAAAAATTAATTGGTATAATTAATTTCGCATTTATAAGGAAAGCCCATTACCAACAAACATTACATTTATAAAACCATATGAGATACTATCATTATAGTCACGTTTATACACACATACATATATATATATATATATAACGCGTTACGTGTGCAAAACAACGTTGGAGTGTGATTGAAAACACTGTTTTATTTTTTTGTCAATGAATAAGAATTATAACGTGGGGGTTGACCTGACCGGGTTACATGAGTGTCGTGCACGTCTCTTATATATATATATATATATATATATAAAAAAATCATATATAAATACCAGAATTTTTATAAAATTTTTAAATAAATATCTGAATATAAAATTCTCAAATAAATAACTGAAATTTTTAAAACTTCTATATAAATACTTAAAATTTTAAAAATAATCCAAATGAAACCAAAATTTATTAACGACGTTAAATTTAATTCGTCGATAATTGATTATTGAGCCGTCAACAAATATTATTTCATTTGAAAAAATTTTAAAAGTTGGGGTAGTTATGTGAATTTTTTAAAAAATTTAGATATTTATTTGGAAGTTTTATCATTTAAATATTTATTTAAAAATTTTGTAAAAATTCAGTTATTTATATGTGATTTTCTCGCTCTATATATATATATATTAATTTCTCTAAAATTGCAAAGGTACGTTTTAAATAATTGATTTTTTTTTGTGTTAGAAAAGTCTTATGTCTCAAGCAAATGTGATTAAGAATGAGAACGATGTGACAAAATCAAATACCAAATTCTTTATTTTTTTTATTTCCATCGTCAAAGTGTTTGTTTTCTTCCAATTTTTTTTAGGTGGCGAAATAAACATGTTCCTTAAATTACATGTTATATAATAATATATGCTCATAAATATCCGGAATTTGTGTTGTTTTCAGTTCTAACAATTTTTGTTCACAGTTTCAAGTTTAAAAGTTTATATTGGTTTGATTTTTTATTGAATTTCAATTCGATACAAATTCTATTCAAATTTTCTTGTCATTAGAAAAAAGTTTCCAATGAACTTGATTTAAAATAAAAAGATTATAAGCAATTAATTTATTATTATCCAGAAAAATAATAATTGAAATATAATTATATGTTATTTGATTCGATTTTATATATCCTAATAAAAGTACTCATTCATAGTTTTATCAATCAATTTCTATATAATAGAAACGTACTTTTAAAAAATATATATATTATTTACGTGTTCCAGCCATTATCCAATTGTCTTGAATGTTTGATATTACACGGCGAATTATGCGAAAAAAGTTCATTATTTTGTGATAACAAAATTCCATTAAAATTTAAAACTCGATTTTGACATATTAATTAGGCAAAACGAATCAGTTTTATTGAACCTAAAGATACCCGACAAGATTGGTCCTCCAACACTTCCATTATTTTTTTATAAAAGTCAATGAGAACACATACTATAATATACATACATATATATATATATATCCGAACCATTGTGTGTATATATATATATATTAATATGTATGTATTGAGAAAATCATCTAAACAAATACACAATTACATGAGACGTGTCATCACACGTGTAAATACATACGTACATATATATACTTTGGCACGAGTGTAAATTTTGATCCGAAGTGCGACTCGAACCCACCCAAAAAATATCGGATTTCGAATTTAAATATATCAATTAGAAAAAAAGAAATTGGGTCGATCTAAACCTAAAATCCTTGGATCTAGTGTTGACTCGGGCGGGTTGGACCGACCCAATTGACACCGTATTATATTGTATGACTAAAAATTATGTGATTAATCATTAATTATAAATATATAATATAAATTAATTTAAACTGTATCCTTATTGAAGTATTTCGATGGGGGATATATCTAAAATACCTTTCGGAGGCTATATCTACTTCCACTACTACCCTCTAAACAAAAAATTGAAAAAAAAAAAGAGTTGAATATGCCAAAAGACAATAAAATCCTTACATATTAATCAAAAGACAAAAAAAACCCTCTATTTTTTCAATTTAAAAAATTTATATTAAAAAAAATGTAAAGTTACGCAACCTTCTTCTTCTTCTCCCCCTCTCTCTCTCTCTAACTTTACTCTTCTTCTTCTTCTCCTCTCTCTCCTCCTAAAATTTTCTCCTCTCTCTCCTAAACTCTCACGATTTCAGCTCTCTCATTCTCTTTCAAACCTTCTAATCTTTTGCATTTTGTGCCGATTTCTCTCCAAAAAATCTATTTTCTATTTAAATCTTCGATTAGATTCAAGATTCGAAGAAAAAAACTGACGAGAGAGAAGAACATGGCTTTAAAATCATCTCGTTACTCATCTTCATCACAATCTTCGACCGAGAATGAAAACCGTATAGAGATTGTAGGGCTAGACAAAAATATGGTAGGTTAAACTTCAATTTTTTTCAGATTTGTTGGACTTTCAAATTATTGTTGTTGAATTGAAGTGTGATTTTGAGATTTGACCGATAGAAATTTGGGATTTTGGGTTTTTCAAATTTTTGGGGATTTTGACATAAAATATTGGGTTTGAAGTGAATTAATCAATTGAGTCATATGGTCATAGGGTTACAGTGTCATATAGGTCACATTGTGGTATGGTCACAGGGTCACATCTTCATATAGATTACAGGATTACAGGTCATATGGTGGTATGGTCACAAAGTCATATCTTCATATACGTCACAGGGTCACAGGTCA